ACAAATTAAAATTTTGCTCAGCAAAGGAAACAACAGAGTGAAGATGCTACCTACATCTGATAAGATACTAATACATCTGATGAGGGGTTAATACCCAGAATATATGTGACCCAGAAAGCTCAATAGCAACAAAACAAAAATTGAAGAACTTCATTGTAAAAGGAGCAATAAATCTAGGCATGGTGGTGCATGCCTGTAATCTCAGCACTTGAGAGGCTGAAGCAGGAGGATCCCCAAGAGTTTGAGGCCATCCTATTCTACATGGTGAGATCAAGGCAAGCCTGAACTATATAGCAAGATCTTGTCTCAGAAATAAATATATAAAATTTTTTAAATCTAGGGAATGTAGCATAGTGCAGAGGCACTGGGTTTGATCTTTAACACCAAATAAACAAACAAATATATAAATAATTGTTAACAATTAAGACCAACAAACCAGGAATGGTGGCACATGTCTCTAATCCCAACCCTTGGGAAGCTGAGAAGGATTGCAAATTTGGAGCCAGCCTGGGCTATCTAACAACTTTAAGGCTGGCCTGTATATATAGCAAGACCATGTGTCACAAAATTAAAAATTTAAACTGGGCGTGGTGGCGCACACCTTTAATCCCAGCACTCGGGAGGCTGAGACAGGAGGATGCTGTGAGTTTGAGACCAGCCTGGGCTACACAGTGAGTTCCAGGTCAGTCTCAACTACATAATAAGACCCTGTCTCAAAAACAAAACAAAATTTTAAAATGTAGGAGGGCAATAAATCTAAATATACAATTTTCAAAAGAAGCATGCCACTGGCCCACACGGTATGTAAAAAAAGCCCACCATCACCAATGTTGAGGGACATGCAGATCAAAACTACAATGAGGCTCTCACCTCACTCCAGTAAGAATGGCTGCCATAAAAAAGACAAACGATGGGCTGAGAATGTAGCTCAGAAGTATAGCACTTGTGTAGCATGAGTGATATCTGGGTCTGATACTCAGAACCACCACCAAAAAAACCCCAAGATGACGAGCATGTAGAGAAAAGGGAGTCCTGCACAACTATTGATGGGAATATAGATTAGTTTTGGGGGTTTTTTGTTTGTTTGTTTTTCTGAGACAGGGTCTCACTATGTAGTTGAGACTGACCTGGAACTCACTATGTAGCCCAGGCTGGTCTCGAACTCAATGGTGACCCTCCTGCCTCAGCCTCCTGACTGCAGGAATATAGATTAGTATAGCTAATTTGAAATACAATATTGGAGTTCCTCAAAAAATTAAAAATAGAACTCCCACTTTGATGTAGCAATCCCAATATGGGATATAGATCCCAGCTTTTTTTTAACCAGGGATCAAACTCAGGACCTTTTGTTTGTGAGGCAGGTGCAGTGCTACTGAGCTAAATCCCTAGACCTAGCCCTTTTCATTTTTTAAACTTTCCTTCTAAGGTACTGGTGCATGTGTATATAGTGGAATATTATTCAGCCATAAAAAGTGATGGGGTCTTGTTATATAGTCCAGCCGGGTGTTGAACTCACTATATAGTACAGGCTGGCCTCAAACTCATGTCAATCCTCCTGCCTCAGCCTCCCAAGTACTAGGATTGCAGGCATGTGCCACTACACCTGACTGGACTGTATGCTTTTATTTTTACTTTTTATTATTATTTTTTTTACCAGGATCGTAACAAGCCTTTATTATGGGGAGGGTCTGCTCTGCCCGGCTGACTGAACAAAGGAGAGAGAGCGCTTCTTACAGGACTGGGGTGGGGCTTATAGGAGCTGGGTGGGATTGAGTGATGTAGTGGTTAGGGATTGGGGAGTTTGTGGCATCACTAGGAGGGCCTTGTGTCAGCACTAGTTAGGGCCATCTTAAGGCAAAGTCTCTTCTGGAGCTGCTACAAGCTGACAAAGGGACGAAGGTTGGGGCCAAACCTGGATCTGGTGGGGCAGCGGTAGGTGGGGGCTTCTTCCCTCTGCCGCAGTGGCCGATACTCCGCCGTGACGAGTTTTGTGACTGTCCGATTGGTAAATGTCCTCATGCGTCCCTGCAAGAAATTCTGAAAACAGCAAAACAGACAGGGCTCTATCATGAGTTAAAAGACATGTACAAGCCAGTGGGCCCAACCAGGGAAGTAGCCAAGGCAGAATTGGAGAAGCCAGGAGTAGCTCTGGTCTATTCCCCGAGAATTCCTTCGTCTCTTTTGCTCTTCCTTGCGCTGTTTTTTTTTTTTTTCAGTACCGAGGATCAAATTCGGGACCTTGTGCTGTAAGGCTGGCTGCAGCACCGCTAAACTAAATCTCAGGCCCCGCTCCTGTAATTCTTCACCCTTTGCTTTAACAATCCCTGACTGGTTAAAGAAATAACAGCATTCTTCACCCAGCACCTGGGATGGTCCCCCTTGGGCCGCTGTCAGCGTGTCAAGGGCTCTTCTATTTCACAACACAACCGCTGCTGGAGAATTTATTTGATCCTGTACCATGTTAAAGGGCTGGCTTATTTTATCCACGTCTTCTGAAGTCTCTATGGGCAGGGCCTGATAGAAATGTGTGGATGTAGAAATGCCCGCTATCCCCATTGCCCTCCCAGTGAGGACCCCACTCCCATTACGGAGGGGACTAGAAGGGGAGCTGCCCTTTTTCTGATTGCGTTCTGTGGGAGAACTTGTTTGGACATCTGGGCTTCTGTAGAAATGGTCATGGGAGGGTTAAGGAAGGATACGTAACAGAAAACATCAGACTGACTGAGGCATTGATCGGAATGCCTCTTGATTATATATGCAGTACAGGCCCTTGAACAGACACTCTTCTGAGATAGAGAGGGAGCAAGCAAGGCAAGTGATGTTGTCATTTTGCCCTGTGCATGTGTATTTTTATTTTTTAATTTTTTTTTTTTTTTTTGGTACCGGGGATTGAACTCGGGTCCTTGCGCTTGCAAGGCAGGCCACCGAACCACTGAGCTAGATCCCTGGCAGTGGTAGTTAAATTTTAGTGCAGGGAGATTCACGGTGCCCAGATAAAGAAATTGACAGGCAAGATATTTAAAAACTGTGAGGTGTGTCAGGAGGCAAAAAGGCTAGGGTGGTAAAGAATACTGGGGATTAAACTCCGGTTGTGTATTTATTTTATTATTTTTGGTTTTTTGAGACAGGGTCTCACTATGTAGTTGAGACTGACCTGGAACTCACTATGTAGCCCAGGCTGGTCTCAAACTCACAGCGATCCTCCTGCCTCAGCCTCCTGAGTGCTGGGATCACAGGCGTGCGCCACCACCCCCAGCGTAGACTGTATTTTTAAAAGATAGAAGAAAAGAGTTGAATGTTTTTACCATAAAGATACAATAAATATTTGAAGAGATAAATATGTTTAACTGATTTAAACATAGAGCAATGTATACATGTATTGAAATATCACATGGTACCCCATCAATATATACAATTTTTATGTGTCTGCATATTAGTTTATAAATAAAGGTAGAGCCAAGAATGGTGGTGTGTGCCTGTAACCGCTGGATTCTGGGAGGCTGAGGCAGGAGGATTGCCAAGTTTCAGCCTGGGCAATTTAGTGACTCAGTAAATCTGAGGATGTGGCTCAGTGCAAAGGCCCTGGTTCAATCCCCAGTACCACAAAACGTCAAGAGGGAGGAAGGAATGAGGGGAAAGGCTGGAGCTGGAGCTCAGGGGTAGAGCGTTACCCTGGCACGGGCAAGGCTCTGAGTCCCACCTATCACCATACACTCGCATAAGTTTAAATTTTAGAAAATCATCACTTTTTGCCTAGTGACATCCTTATTTTAGTTTTGTTTCTGAGAGAAGATCTTACTGTATCACTCAGGTTGGTCTGGTACTGAGCTCAAGGGACCCTACCTCAGCCTCCTAATAGTGGGACTCTGTGCATGTCCCATTGCACCTACCAATTTTTGTCAAGGTTACAGTGAGTCAGCACACTTGTGGCAGAGCCAGAATAAAGAATACACACATTCAAGTGAAAAACATTCTTTTGGGACCTTGTGTTTGCGAGGCAGGTGGTGGAACCTCTGGACTAAATCCATGGCCCGAGTGAAAAACATGCTTGATGCCTCATTGTACTTCATGTTATTTCTAAGTGCCAACTATAGGGCCAGCTCCCAGAATAAAGTAGGGAAATTTCACAAAGCATAGGAAAATAACACAGGGAAAGGTTGAACTTCAAATATTCTAAAGCCCAATTTGTTTCTTTAATGTATATGAAGTACACATTAACAAACTCCTGATGATTGGAGTGTTACTTTTAAAAAGGAGTTGTGAGCCGGGCATGGTAGAACATGCCTGTAATCACAGCACTCTAAAGGCTGAGGCAGGAGGATCACCGTGAGTCCAAGGTGGGCTTAGGCTACATGTGAAACAGTCTCAAAAAAAAAAGGAGGAATTGTGAACTGGGTGTCTATAATCCCAGCTACTTGGGAGGCTGTGGCAGAAAGATTGCAAGATTGAGGTTAGCCTGTGCAACTCAGCCAGACACTGTCTCAGAAGAAAAATAAAAAAGGACGGGACAAGCTTAGCAGTACAGTGCTTGCTTGGCATATGCAAGGCCCTGGGTTCAGTCCCCAGTACTAAAGTAATGAATTTGCTGTTTGCAAATCATTGCTGAAGGAGGCTGCAATTGGTATCTTTTTTAGGGTAAATAATTCCTTTAGAGGAATTACTATCCTGGTGTGATAGTGTACACCTGTACTCACAGCCTTGTGGGCTGAGGCAGGTAAATTCAAGGCCAGTCTGACCTAACAGGGAGACCTGTCTCAAAAAACAAAAACAAAGGACTGGGGATTTAGCTCAGCGGTCCACTGCCTGCCTGGTAAGCACAAGGACCTGAGTTTGATCTCCTGTGCCCCTCGATCCTTGTTATTTCAGCATGTGTTATCATGTCCTTCACAATATAAAAGCAAACCTTGTTTATAATCCATTTGGCACTAATTTCAAGTTTTTAATGAGGAATTATTGAACTGTCACTTTAAATGCTTTTGTTGACTTTGTTTTTCTTATAGAGAAGAAAACTACACCTCAGCCCTGAGCACTGCAGTAACTTTTATGTGGAACAGTATGGGAAAATATTTTTCCCAAATTTAACAGCTTACATGAGTTCTGGACCACTAGTTGCCATGATATTAGCTAGACACAACGCCATCTCTTACTGGAAGGAACTTTTGGGTCCCAGTAATAGTTTGGTAGCTAAGGAGACACATCCAGACAGGTAACTTACTTTCCTGGGTCGGGGAAATTAAATCCATTTGTGAAAATGAAACAAAAAATCGGATTTCAACATAATAATTGTTTTCTTACATTTGGAAGTTTCCTAAATCAACTTTTCTTTGGGTTAGGGGTAGTTAGTTTTATATTTTAACCATTACAATGTCTGCCTTAATACCAAATACCAAGTCTCAGGGAAAGTCTGATTTGTAGTTGATTAGTCTTACTCTTTTCTCATCTTTCACTTAAAGTGCCACTGAGGACTTTTGTTTTTGGTACCGGTGTCGGAACCACTGAGCTAAATCCCTGGCCCCAAGGACTTTTTTTTTTAATGGTAGATTTGGAATGGTGCTTTAAAAGAATATTGGAAATCAGGAGTAAAAATCCAAATTTTTGGTGACCACTCATGTCTACAAGCAAGACACTAAATTCTTACACTTTTGAATATTAATTGTTTTTTCACTTCTCACAAAACTCCTTTTCACTTAAAGAACTCCTATTGTCCCTCCTGCAGAGTTAAACACATTTGACCCTCATCTAGATCTCTCCATGGAAGCTTAAATTCAAAATAGATTGAAGCCTCCATATATGAGAAGTGATAATGCTTTTGTGAAATTCCTAAGTAGCGTGCATTCCTACAAAGTAAGAGAAGGATGTCAGATTGGATCTCGATCATCATGTCTAATTTGCTTCTAGTCTAAGGGCAATTTACGGCACAGACGACCTAAGGAATGCACTGCATGGGAGTAAGGACTTTGCTGCAGCAGAAAGAGAAATTCGTTTTATGTTTCCTAAAGGTGAGTTAAGGATGGCTTAATTTGTGAACAGCATCTCCTGGTTGTCTGCTGCTTCTTTTATTTTGAAGATGTGTCTGGGAAGGAAAATAACAGGTTTTTCCTCCAGTATATTTTGTCATATATTAATTTATAAAAAACTTGAAGCCACACATGGGAAATTCAGCATTTTCCTCCAAATTTAAAGTGTGCCCTATAGGGAATCTGTTTTGTTTTTGTTTTTTGCTACAGTGCAATATAGTTCAGATTGGCTTTGAACTCCCTATGTAGCTCAGGCTGGCCCTGAGCTATTCCCCTACCCTTTTTTTTCCCCCGGCCTTTTTTTTATTTTTAGATGTCACCTCTAGAAGGCTGGGATTGCAGTCACGTGCCACCATGCCCAGCTCAAATTGTATACATGTATGGAATTATTGTACTCTACCCCATAAATTTGCACAAATAGTGCATGTCAATTAAAAAACAATACAGAAGGCATTTATATAAAATTCTAGGGAACTGTAGTGACGGAAGGCCATCAATAAACTTGTGTGTCACACATCCATGGTCCCAGTAGCTTAGGAGGCTGTGACAGGAGGGTCACTGGGCTCAGAAATCTGAGAACAGCCTGGGTAACATGGTGCATGGTGAGACCCTATCTCAAAATGAATAAGAGTTTTTTGGGGGGTGTCTCGCTGTGTAGTTCAGGCTGGCCTTGAACTCGCAGCAGTCCTCTGCCTCAGCCTCTCAAGCGCCAGGACGGCAGATGTGTACCACCATACCCAGCTTAAGTGATTATCGTTTATTTTAAAAGTTGGGTAGAGTGGTGTATGCCTATGGTCACCACATTCTGAGAAGCTGAGGCAGGATTGCAAATTCGCCAATTAATGAGACCCTGTCTCAAGATAATTTAAAAAAATTTTTTTAAAAGCAAAAAAAAAAGTTAATCGGTGGTTGACTAAGGGAGGGGTTGGAGAGAGATGAACTGCACAAGGGCAGTTGGTGAGGGTTGCTGAGCAGTGTTCTATATCTTGGTTGTAGTGATGGTTATATGAGCGCACATAATTACCAGAATCCACCAAACACGTCAAAATGTGTGAATTTTATTGTGTAAAAAGAAAAAAGTAAAAAAAAAGTATCTTTCATGTATTACAAGCTCTTCAAGGCATCCCCTTTAATGACATATAATCGTATTTTATCATTTGTTTCCTTTAATGAGAACGTATTTGTATTTGCAGTGATCGCTGAACCCATTCCAATTGGACAAGCTGCTAAGGACTATTTAAATTTATATGTAACACCAACTCTGCTTGAAGGACTCACAGAGCTTTGTAAGCAAAAACCAACAGATCCTTTTGTAAGAAATCTTTTTATTTTCACTAAAGAATACTGTTTGTAGTTTTAAAACATCACGTTTTTGAGGGCCAGGGATCTAGCTCAGTGGAGCCATGCCTGCCTCACAAGCACAATGTACTGAGTTCAATCCCTGGTACCGGAGGGAAAAAAAAGGTGGGGGAGGTTCAAGGCCAGCCTGGACAACATAGCAAGATGGTGCCTCAAAACACTGTGCTCTTTTTTTTTTTTTTTTTTGGTTTTTTTGAGACAGGGTCTCACTATGTAGTTGAGACTGACCTGGAACTCACTATGTAGCTCAGGCTGGTTTTGAACTCACAGCAATCCTCCTGCCTCAGCTCTCCCGAGTGCTGGGATTATAGGCGTGTGCCACCACACCTGGCAAAACAGTGTTCTTGAAACAATACATATTGGGAACCTTTTTAAAATAATCATTTTCAGAAATACACACCCACGCCCCCACACACACTATATTCCAATACTTATAAGTAACTATTGATTACTTATTTTCTTTTCTTGGGGGAGAGGTGTACCGGGAATTGAACTCAAGCCCTTGAGCTTTTTTTCTTTTCTTTTTTTTTTGGTTCTGGGGGTCGAACTCGGGTCCTTGTGCTTGCAAGGCAGGCAGCGGAACCATTGAACTAAATCCCCGGCCCCTTATTTTCTGATTTTTATTTCTCATAATATCTAATTTTAAAAACTAGAACAAACCAGGTGTGGTAGTGCACACCTGTAAATCCAGCCGCACCGGGGAGACTGCACACCGTGTGAGCCTCACTACCCTACATAGTGAGACCCTGTCTCAGAAAAACAGCAGCTAGGGCCAGGGATTTAGCTCCGGGGTGCTGCCGCCTGCCTCCCAAGCGCAAGGTCCAGAGTTCGATCCCTGGTACCAAAAACAAAACAAACAAAAACAGCAGCTAAAAGGGCATGTTGGCTGGCACACACTTGAAATTCTAGCACAACTGAGGGAGGAAGATTACAAGTTCGTGCCTACTTAGCAACTTAGGGACTTAGTGAGACCCTGGCTCAAAATAAAAAATAAAAAAAGATCAGGGTGTGAAGGCCCTGTGTTAAATCTCCAGTACTGAAAAGTAGTATTGGTGATTGCAGTAGTAGTAGTGACGATAACAACAACAATAACAACCACAGCAGTAGAACTGTTTGGCTCAGAGTTGGGGTGCATGCCTACAATTACAGCATTCTGGAGGCCGAGGCAGAAGGACTGAGCGTTTAAGGCCAGCCTGGGCTACATAGTGTATTTAAGGTCAGCCTGAACTGCATAGCAAGACCCCATCTCAAAAAAAAAGAAAGAAAGAAAAGAAAAGAAAAAAGAAAAAAACAGCCTGACCAACATAGCAAGACCCCATTTTAACAAACATTCCTTATTGGGCCTGGGATTTAGCTCAGTGGTACTGCCCCTGCCACAAAAGTGCAAGGTCCAGAGTTCAATCCTTGGTACCAGGGGAAAAAAAATCCTTATAAAGAAATTTTTTATCATAGTGTCCCTTGCATGATAAGTGCTCAAAATTAGTATGACTATACTGTATATGGGTGTGTTTCATCAATATATATATTTAAATATATATTTTGTAGAGAATTTCTTTTCTCTTATTGAGTTTGTTGGTACATTTTAGGTATACAGTACAATTACGCTCATTACTGGGATCTTGTACCTTTACATGACAGGTCCTGGTTCTCATTTTTTTCCCCTGGTCCCTGCCCTCCCTTCACCCTCTCCTCCCCTCCCCATTTACAAACACTTTATTTCCATTTTTTCATGCTTTTTTCTTTTCCCTTATTACCTTTCCCCTACCCTTCCCATTTTCCCTACACCTTTAGCCCTTTTCTTCCTATTTCACATGGTCAGTTATATCATTAGGATCTTGTGCACTATTACAGCTTTTCACACCAGAGAAACGATTCGGTATTTACACATGTGTGACTTATTTATTTCACTTAGGAGTATATCCTCAATATGTATCCATTTTCCTATGAATGAATCTAATTTCTCATTCTTTATGGCTGAGTAGTATTCCATTTTATAGAAAAAACACATCTTCTTTATCCAGTTTCCAAATGATGGGCAAATGGGCTGTTTCCAAGTTTTAGCTATTACAAACTGTGCCGCTATAAACATAGGCGCACATATATCACTGAGGTATGATTCCTTTAATTCTTTTGGAAAGATACCCAGCAGAGGGATGGCTGGGTCAAATGGAACCTCTAGTCCTAGTTCTTTGAGGTATCTCCATATTGATTTCCATAGTGGTTGCACCAGTCTGCACTCCCACCAACAATGGAGAAGGGTTCATTTCTCCCCACAACCCTGTCAACATTGGTTATTGTGTGATTTCTTGATAGCAGCCATTCTTTGTGGGGTGAGGTGGAATCTCAGCGTTGTTTTCATCTGCATCTCTCGAATGACCAGTGATGTGGAATATTTTTTCATATATTTACTTGCTGCTTTTACTTCTTTGTCTGAGAAATGTCTGTTCATTTCAGATGCCCATTTTTGAATCTGGTCTTTATATTTGGGGGCGCTGATTGTTTTGAGTTCTTTATGTATTCTAGATAGTAGTCCTTTGTCTGAGAAGCAGCTGGTATAATTGTTTTCCTACATTGTAGGTTGTCTCTTAGTTCTGCTGATGATTTCTTTTGCAGTGCAGCTTTTTAATAAGATGAGATTCCCAGTTGTTGATTCTTTCTGCTATATAGAGAACATTTTAATAGTTGCATATATCTTTTATTCCTGCTTTTACTCTTTAACTGTACTGGGGATTAAATCTACATCATTTGCTTGAGTTACATCCCCAGCCCATTTTATTTGTTTGTTTGTTTACTTTCTTTGCAGTACTGGGGATTGAATCCAGAGCTTTTGCACTGAGTTAAATCCCCCAACCTCTTTTCATTATTTATTTATTTATTTTTGAGGCAGTGTCTCACTACGTAGTTGAGACTTACCTGGAACTCACTATGTAGCCCATGCTGGTTTTAAACTCACAGCAATCCTCCTGCCTCAGCCTCCCCAGTGCTGGGATAACAGGCTTGTGCCACCACGCCTGGCTTCATTTTTTATTTTGAGATGGGATCTCATTACATTGCCCCGGTTGGGTTTAAACTTTTAATCTTCCTGCATCAGCCTCCTGGAGTGCTAGTATTACAGGCTTCTACCACCACACCTTGTTTAAATTTGCCATTTTAACCATTTTTAAGTAAACAATTCATTGGCATCAATTATATTCACAATGTTGTATAGCCGTTACCACTGCATATTTCCAATTTCTTCTTCTTTTTTTTTTTTTTTTTTTTTTGTGGTACCTGGGATTGAACTCAAGACCTGGCACTTGTGAGGCAGGCATGGTGCCACTGAGCTACACCCCCAGCCCCCAAATTCTTTTCATTGCCCCAAAAAGAAATCTCTGAACCATTAAGCGATTACTCTCTATTCCTTCTTTCTCTCAACTCTTAATTTCTATCTCTATGAATTGGCCTTTTCTAGATATTTTACATAAGTAGATTCATAAAGTGTTTTGTTCTTTTGTGTCTTGTTCTTACAGCTCTGCTACATCCCCAGCCTTGTTAGATTTCTTGTGAATTGTTTGGGGTTTAAAAAATTGAGTGTTCTAGAGATTGAACCCAGGGTCATCATACTGAGCTACATAATGGCCCCTTTCAATTTTTTTATGTTGAGACAGAGCAGAGCCTTGCTAAGTTGCTGAATTGCCCAGGATAGACTCACATCTGTGATGTTCCTGCCTCAGCCTCCTGAGTGCTGGGATTGCAAATGTGTGCCAAAATGCCTGGCTTTGGATTTTTTATATGTAGGATAATTACCATCTATTTGTGGCCAGAGATAGTTTTACTTCATCTCCAATTTTGATGTATACATAATAATTCTGCATAATGTAAATTGCAGTACTTAAATTTTAATGATCATTTTCTTATTCTGTGTGTGTGTGTGTGTTTGTGTGTGTGTACATTCTTGTATCTGTGGTACTGGAGATTAAACCCAGTGCTTTTGCATTGAGCCACATCCCTTTTTCATTTTGAGACAAAGTCTTACTAAGTCACTAAATTGCCCAGCTGAATTTAAATTTATGACCCTCTTGCCTTAGCCTCCTAGAGTGCTGGAATTACAGATATGAAGCAACAGTGTGTTTTTCTTTTCTTTTTTTTGGTACCTGGGATTGAACTCAGGACCTTGTGCTTGCAAAGCATGCAGTGAAATATCCAGCCATTTTTTCTTAAAGTGATTTTGAAAATTTTTTGTTTCTAATTGATAAGGTATATATTGAAAGGAAATACTTAAATGTTTATTAATTTAAGATTTTTTTCTTTTTTCCATAGATTTGGCTAGCTGATTGGCTGCTGAAAAATAATCCTAACAAACCTAAACTTTATCATCATCAAATTGCAGAAGAGTTCTAGCCTCTGCTAAAGAATAGGTCATGAATTATCTTACTGCAGTGCATGACGACCTGGATTTAATACCCATCATCAGAAAGAATGAGGTGGGGAGGGGGGAAAAAAGAAAGGAAAAGAGAATACAAGAAATTTAATTCTTAAGGGTTTAAGTAACTGTATGCAAAATTATTTCTTAAAAATAAATGTTAAAGAAATAACCATTCTACATAGCAGATAATGTTATCTAGGGTAAATATGGATTTAGGGTACAAACTTAATATTGCAGAGTGTGGTGGTGCATGCCTAAAATCCTGGGATCCCGGGAGGCTGGGACAAGAGGATCACAAGTTCAACCCCACCCTGGGCACTTTGGTGACTTCGCAAGTCCTATCTCACAATAAAAAATAAAAATGAGCTGGGGCTCAGTATGAAGTTCCTAGGTGTAATCCTCAATACCAAAAAGAAAAAAGCACTGATGTAGCATTAAAAGAAGACAGATGTAAGATGGTATTAGATTATTTATTTTTTTAATTTAAGAAGACATGAAAATGTTAAAAATTTGACCAAATATATATCCCATATCTACTGCATAATTAATGCATCAATTCAGGCAGTCTAGTTTAAAAGGTTTAACTACATAAGTAACTATGTGATATAATGGAAATGTTTAGAACCAGAGGATGATTTTAATTACCTACATAACTATTTTATCATCATCAATAAGTATCCTTAAGAGTGACCAACCAGGGTTGGACATAAGCCAGGCATGGTGGTGATAACGTGTAATCCTAGCACTAGGGAGGCGGAGGCAGGAGGATCACCATGAGTTTGAGGCCAGCCTGGGCTACATAGTGAGTTCAAGACCAACCTAAAATACATAGTGAGATCCTGTCTCAAAAAAGAAAAAAAAAAGAGTGAACAAATAGGATGACAAACATTCTTTTCTACTTCGGACTTTCCTGGTAATATCACCAAATGCCCTGCATCCTTGTAACCTCCTCAGTCCTGGGCAGAATGGAATAATTGACCACCTTCCCAAATAGTTCTTAGGTTAGTATTTCCTAATTATTTTTATATTAGTTTGAAAAAAGAAATTCTCAGTTCTTTTTTAAATTTTGGTACCAGGGATTGAACTCAGGCCCTTGTACTTTTGAGGCAGGCAGTGACACCACTGAGCTAAATCTCTAGCCCTCACAGTTCTTAAAGAAATTTTAATATGCTTAAAAGCTTGTAAAGCACTTTTATTAAAAATTAAACTGGTGGAGCACACCTGTAATCCTAACACTCAGGAGGCTGAGGCTGGAGAATTGCATGAGTTCAAGGCCAGCCTGGAATATACAGTAAGTTCATATAATCATATAATGAGATCCTGACTCAAAAAACCAAAGCAACAACAACAACAAAAAAACTAAACTGGTCATAGTGGCACACCTGTGTAATCACAACTATTCTAAAGCTGAGGCAGGAGGACTGCACTTCAGGCTGGAAAAGTTAGCAAGACCCTGTCTGAAAATGAAACTTGGAAAAGGATCTCAGTGGTAGAGCACTTGTTTACCATGTATGAGGCCCTGTGCTCCATCTTTAGTGCTTCAAGGAAAAAAAAAAAAAAATCAAAGTTTTTGTCATACACAGAAAGTAGTGATGAGGATGAACTGCCCTAATTAAAAGATATTAAATAGGCATCTTAACTAAATGGCATTAACGAGTCTTGATAGGGTTATGCTTTTTAAAAATCTATGAGCTAACTTGTCATGTAAAAGTACAAGATCCCAACAATGAATGTAACTGTACTGTATCCCTAAAATGTACCAATAAACTCAATTAAAGCTGAAAAAAAAATAAAGAGATGTTAAGCTAGAAAAAAAAATCTATGAGCTGAAGGTAGAGTGCAGTACTGCCCAAAACTAGGAAAACAAATTAAGGAAATTTAGATATAGACTAAATATTAGATGATATTAGAGAATAATTGTTAATTTTTAGGGTAAAAATATAGCCATAAAGGGGAATGTCATTTTTTAGGTGTTACTTTTTTTTTTCAGTACTGAGGAACCAAACTCAGGACCTTGTGCCTGCGCTTGTCAGGCAAGCTACATCCCTGGCCCTTAGGTTTTACATTCTAAAAATATTTTTTTTTCTTTTTGGGTACTGGGATGGAATCCAGGGCCTCATGCATGCTGGGCAAGTTCTCTATCACTGAACTATATCTCCAGCTGCCTCACCCCAAAATAAAGGTTTTTTTTAATGCAAGTATAAATAAAACAAAATTAGGAAAATACTAACAGTTCAGTCTAAGTTGTAGGCACCCAAGTGCAAGTGCTCATTTCGCTATTCAAATTTAATGGACTTTAAAACTACTCGTACTGATTAGGGATACTGGGGATGTTGCTCAGTGGTAGAATGCTTGGCAAAAGGGAGAAAAAGTAAAGATCTAGCCATTATTACCATGATCCAGGGGACAATTTACCACAGCAGTGATGGGAAGGCATTTAGGTATTATATGAATCTTGATTTGATGTAAAATGAAATATAATGTTCACATCTGATGTATTCTAGACAAAAGTCTGCACCTTAAAATTATCAAGCCTTGTCAGGCATTGTGCATGTCTGTGATCCCAGCACTCAGGAGGCTGAGGCAGGAGAATCACCACAAGTTTGAGGCTGGCTTGGACTACAAAGTGAGACCCTGCCTCAAAAATAAAAATAAAACCTTTAATCCAAATGCAGTCTATAGTAATATAAGAGGTAAGGGTGACCATCTAAAGGATACCATAGCTGAGCATGGTGGCACACACCTACAATTCTAGCACATAGGAAGCTGGGGCAGGAGGGTTGCTGTGAGTTCAAGGCCAGCCTGGTCAACATAGTAAGTCTCAAGGCTAGCCTGAACTACATAGTGAGACCCTACCTCAAAAACAAGAATAACAAAAAGATACCATAAAGAAGCAACAAGAAAAATTTATGAATTTCCTTGAGATCTTTAATAAATTGGTTTTGAGAAAAGGGACTAATTTAGATTGAGAAAGACTTAAGATATATAATCAGAATCACTACTTGTTCCTAGATTGGACCCTGGTTTAGGCAGACAAGCTATAATGGACATTTGTGAGGCAACTGGAAAGTTTTGAAACTAGACTGGCTATTAGATGAGATTTATTGCCTTAAAAGGCAAAGATTTAACTCAAAAGGGATCTTATAAGACTATGTGTACAGGAGTAGGAGTGTAGCTAGCATGTGAGGCCCTGAGTTCAATCTCCAATACTGGGGGAAAAGCAGTATGTATAAGTGTTATGATGTAGGTAAAAAAGATCTATAGAAAGTATATCTGTGGGGATGGGGATGTTTAGATCAGTGGCAGAGTGCTTGCCAAACATGCATAAGGCCCTGAGCTTGCTTGTCAGCTCCACACACACATAAAAAATTATACACTACATACACCTAGAATAAGATAATCTGTAAGTGGTAAGAATATGCTATTTTCTTCTTTTTTGCTTCATTGTATTTAAATTTTTTTACAGTGTTCATTTAAGTGTTTTTTGTTTGTTTTTTGGTTGTTTTTTTTTTTTTTGTAATTTTGTGTACGTACGTATTTTGTGGCTTGGAATCAAATCCAGGACCTCACACATGCTAGGCAAGTGTTCTACAACAAAGGTGCATCCCCAGCCCTTTCTTATTTTAAGACAAGGTCTCCCTAAGTTGCCCAGGCTAGCCTTGAACTCGAAATCTTCCTGCCTCAGCCTTCCAGGTAAGCTGGGAGTATAGGTCACTGCACCTAGTGTGCTTTTGTACTTTAACAAGTATATATATTCATGATGTGTGTTTAGAAGGACTGAGAGCACTGCAGTGAAAGGTTTCCTCTTGTTTACATGGTTAAAAGAAAATCACAATCATTCTAATTACGATAGGTGCGTGTTTGGTGGTGTGGGCAGTCACATTATAGTGGTTGTTCTTTCCCAAAGACCTGGAATGGGGCAGCCTTCATATTTTAATACTGAAGTCCCAGGCTTCTTTAGCACCTTTTTAAAAAGGAATCTTCCTTGGATAAAGAGCAGGATTTAGAAAGCTGACTCAGGTTTCCTCCTGAAGGAGCGGAGCTGGGACCTCTGCTCTGCGGGGCACAGCAGGGGCACAGGATGCTCTGGAGGTGATGTTACCCCGGTTGCAGTGGTTTCCCGGCTGAGATAGGAATCCCTGCTGAATCCAGAGTTTATGTACATGGTAGCAACTAGGAAAAGGACTATTTGGAGAGGGAATGTTGTAGATCTGAGCATGTTTGTAAAGAAAGGTTCAACTGACAGGATAGAAAAAAGTCTTTGTAAATAGAGATAGTTATGTAGTTTTCCTCATCTGGGCAGTGACTTTGTACTTTTAAGAACAGAGTTGGTACTGAGTGCAAGGATATCTTTGTTAGCTAAATTATATTTTTATAATCGTTAATCTTCTTGAGTACTAGTAGATTTTAATCCTGATTTGCCCTAAATCATGACTATTGAGACCGCTAGTTCCTGGTTTAGAGAAACTGGAGGTATTACCCTTGTGGGAAAGGCCCTGGAACCTTGGTGACACTAAGATGCTCAGGACAGGGCCAGCAGGTACTTAATGAATTTATCCAAAGGGCAAGTGAGTGGGTAGGAGGCTGGGGTCAGAGGTCACAGGGCACCACTCCTGCCCTTGTCACAGCCATGCTGGCAGCAGGCCGGGCCCTTCCTCACTGACTCCAAGCAAGGAAGTGAGCAGGGCTCAGCAGACTGCCACCCAGGAGCCAGACTGGCACTTTTTTTTTTTTTTTGGTGTGGTACAAACTAAAAATAGTGGGCCGGGGATTTAGCTCAGTGGTTCCGGCGTCTGCCTCGCAAGCACAACAACCTGAGTTCGATCCCCGGTAACAAAAAAACAAACTAAAAATAGTTTTTACATTTTTAAAAGGTTATAAAAAAAACTGGGAGGATTGAATGTTTGAGCCCAGCCTAGGCAACTTAGTACTTAGCCCCTGTCTCAAAATTTAAAGGACTAGGGATGTAGCTCCGTGCGAATGCCCTGGGTTCAGTCCCTAGTACTGCAGGAAAAAAGGAAAACTATGACAGATCACAAGTGGCCTGTAAAACCTAAAGTATTTACTATGTAGCTCTTAAGAAAGTTTGCTGAGCTGTTTTATAACACTACAAGAATAGCATGATCTTTTACCTTTG